GTTGATAGAACTGCATTAAAATATAAAGCAATTTACACAAATAAGTTAGCTCAAGCATCGCAACATAAAACAAGTTCCAAAAGATGTTACGGCAAAGCTTTTCCCAGATTCTTTAAGAATTTCTGCCGTAATTTGTCCCATTCACCAAAACATTACCTTTAAGATAAAACCACAAACATTTTCAGCTGAAGGGCAGATCTGCTCTGCCTAGGCATCCACCACTGACCACCATCAGACACTATTATAAAGCTGAAAATTCCTTTGGTCTCATTTTCCCTGTCCGTTCTGAGGTTTTATGTAAATAGCCTGTACAACCTTCTCCTGAGAAACTTTCCTAACTCAAACATACCTTAATCACAGTATAACCAAATAATTAGACTGCAGTCCCTGGTAAGTCTACCATTAACACGTAGAAGCTATGTTTAAGGGGAGAAAAGCTTTATTTCAATCAATTTACAGCACATGATGACTATCGCAAATGGGAAACCATATTTTCCAGCACAGTAATTTACACTTTTTAAACAAAGAATTCCAAGAAAAAAATTGTCTGCTAATGTGTGGTGGGTTCTTTTGGTTTAGATTTTTTGGTTTAGATTTTTTGCTTGGTTTTTGTTTGTTTTAAGAACTACAACCAGAAAACAGAACTACTGAACCACCTCCTTTCAGTCATAAGAGAGATGAAAGACAGTTTCCAAGAGAGCCAAGCACTCATGTCACTTCTAACCATGAAAAAGTCCCAGACAAGAGTATATAAAATCATTGTATCAGCTCCGTAACAGGAACATCCACTGCTATAGATCTGATTATAAGAGGAAGTGGGGAAACTGAAGTCAGGAACTGGTCAAAAGATGAGGGATCTATGAGGTGATGCACTTTAAGAACAGCACCATTCTGCGTATACAAATATGTTGTAAAACATTAATGTGCTCACTATCTTTTCATATATATCAAAAACCTGTTAAGTTTCTGTAAAACATTGTTTATCTTAGAGTTTCTGGCTTTGAATCACCCAATAACATGCACTACACAGGTCCTCCTTCACTTACTGCACTGTTATCTTACTTGCACAGGAGAGGGGATACAAATCACAGAATATTAAGTAAAGTAAGATGCTTTGCCCTTATTTCATTAGGGTTTCTTTGCAGCAGAGATTTCTTACAGCCAATATTAAAATGTAATTACTTTGTCTCCCAAAGTTTTAGAATACAAAGCTTGCATGTATTAAAAGAGGTTTTCATCTTTGTAAACATGAAGTAAAAAAGGGAAGGGCAAGTAATTCACATTTTTACGCTTAACAGTTTCAGTTCTAACAGTATCTCCTTCCCAGACCAGTACATCCAGCCGTAGCAATCCATGCAAGGCTTCCTCCCTGCTTCGGTTGAGGATGAGGGAAAAGTTGGGGGGATGAGGGGACTGTTAAATATTCAGCACAAGAGTTTGTGCCAGTAACAAAAGCCTACAAGAGTGCCCGGCGTGATGCAGCTGCTGGGAGGAATCGCAACCAGGGCAGGCAGATGGGCCAGTGCTCAGCGAGCCACAGGCCAAAGTGTGTCAGGAATCTTCTGAAATAAGACATTATACAACAATATTTAATCCGAGCGCCCAGAGCTAGGTCATCTTCATTTTACCGTCTGCACACAACACAGACATCCCAAATACAAGCATATAAAAATCTTCTTATACTGAGTTATATACTGACTTATTTTTATATATTCATATATATAAAAATATACACATCAGCATAGCTGTACAATTGTACATACCTAGTGATTTCTAAAGCAAAAATTAAGCTAGAACTATCAAAGGGGCAAATAAATCCATGGGTTTTCATAAAGCATACAATAGATCATTTGAGACTTAACGAATAATGGCATTAGATCTACCTCAGTATTCAAATTAATTTTATTGCTAAAGCGGTCTGAGTGCTCTTCATAAATATGCTCAGTGAAGCACGTGATGTGCTGGCCGAGGACGTCTCTTACACAAGGTATCACTTCTTGCATATTTTCAGTCCCATGCAATTTGGGAAATGAATTTGGGCTTCATGTCACCAGTTTAACTGTTTAAGTATACAGAAAAAAGGCAATCCTGGATACCAGTACTACTATTTTAAATCGGTAACCTAGGTGAACTATTTTTACCAGAACGTATTTCATCAGAGACATCTCCCTGGGAACTGCAATTATCTAGAGATTTCAGAAAATCTGGGGCTGCACTGCAGGACCACATGACAGAAAAAGACCAAAAAACATAAAAGGACACTGTCTAATGAGAGCCCCGTCTGGAATAGGGGAGTGAAAAAAGCAAGGCAAAGCAAGGTCTCACAACCACAAAGCACAACAAAAACAAAGGGGCAATGACGATACTGGAAGGACAGCATCTTTTGTTGAGCAGTTAGTGGTGTTTGCACAGATCAGAGTCAATTTTTCAACAAGAAATGAGTGTGTATAAAACCAAACACACACACAAACTAGAAAACCCCAGTTAATCTGAAGGTTTACCACTTGACTGGGACTCCCGGTAAGCATAATGGCTGGGAAACCTGCGGGCCACTTCCCAGGTCTGCAGTACAAAGCACTCACTGTCACAAGTTCATTCTAGCAGCGGTTCATTCTGCATCAAAAACAAATGCCTAAAGGGCTGGTGACTAAAAACCATCCCACCAAACCAAAAGCATGTCAGATGTAAAGTTCGCATCCAAACAGCCAGCTGATGGGAACGTTACAAGAAGAGCTCATTAAGTTTGCATAACTTGCTTTTAGTTCACAAGGAAAAAAATTAGTATTAACATGGTCAAAACTTATTATTAGACTAAGGTGCCTGTGATATCTCAACGATTAAATTAAGTATCATTAATTTTGAATGCAACTCATAGATCATTCTCTAAATGCTATGCCAAAAATATAATTGAGTCTTCATTAAGTGATCAGATGGGAAACGGGAGCTCTTTCCCCACTATACAATTCAAGGTTAAGCTGCAGCTCACCAAGGATTGTTAAGAACTGCCACAGTCCCTCACCTTCAGTAACCACACACACAAAAAAAAGGGTCTGTATTTTATCCACTCCAGATTCCCCCCTATCACCAGCTCCTCCTTCCAGCTTACCCGCAACCTTGGAAGAAAGACACAGGTGGAGCTACTAAATAAAGACAGATTTTTCAATGTAGTCAAAGGGGCTAAAGAAAAAGGAAATTATTTCAAGCTACAATTAGAGTGTACTATCAGCCTTCACTACACTGTTTCAAAATTTAAATTTAAATTAAATTCAAATTAAAACAAGCTGTATTTTCAGCCACCTGCTTATCATTTCATCTTTGTGATAACAATGTCAGGACAAAAAACCCCTAGCCTTACCTTAACAACCTACTACCACAGCTATATGTGGTCACCCTTCTGTTATTTGTGTGTGGTGTTGGAAGAAATCTACCTTCCAGTATTTCACAGCTAACAGACTTACAAAAAAAGTGGGTAATTTAACACATAAAAGACAACACTGGTATAGGAGAGTAAAACAGCAAAGCAGAAAAGGCACTGGAATTTATCACTGCAAAGAGGGTATGCTACTACTTGCAAAGTAAATCTGGAAAACAACTCTGCTTACAGTCATGATCTAAAGTTAATTTTTCTAACATACAGAATTGAAAAAGCCCTCAGCTAATGTCAGGCAACAGAGCAAGACTGCCAGGCAATGCCAGAGGTCAGACAGGAATACGGGCAGGCTCCCGGCTGGCAGAGGGATGCTGCTGGCTGCCTGCCGCGAAGGTCCAAACGGCAAGGACTGGGGCAAGTGGAACAAGAGCGACCGGGCGCAGCACTCTGGGTTTTGTGAAGGCTTTTAAAAATTAAACTGGTGCTTTGGTTGAATGAGATCACTGCTCTGGGGCATGGACAAGTGATCCCTTAAACATGGCCGTTCCTGGCGGTTCATGGCATGCTTTTTAAATTTTATTTAAACATTAAGTTCAAGAAATGAACACTTGTCCTTCAAAACTCTCCAGAACTCTACACATGCTTACAAATTGCATCTTTGACTTCATAGCTACACTATTTCCTTGGTTCAATCTTTTTCAAGTACAACCTTGGATTTTTGCACCATTCCAAACCGTGTTCTCTTTTGTGTCACACTACAGAAGAAAGAATATTAACAAAATCTAAGTCATAAATGTTTCCCTCATCACTCCAAAACTGTACATTAAGACTCAGCTTTCATGATCCCATCCTGCAATTATCCTTCGAGATCACAAGTTTCTTATTAGATCATTTTTTCAGCATAATTGGTTACAAAGCCATAAATACAATTTTTCCATGAGAAATAGTTTGTAGTGGCGGTATTTTGAGTCTCCCCATATCACTGATCCATTATTGATCTAAGATGAAAACACACTACCAATTTTTCACTGAACTATTGATCAAGCTAGGTCAACTCTAGCAAGACATCCAGACTACCAGAAATCTACCAGTAAACAGCAGGATCACATACAAGGAAAGGAATTCAGAAAATAGTATTTAAACAGCTTGTTGGACTGCAGACTACTTGTAGGAGGGCTTCAGCAGATCATGCACAGATTACAGTGAAAGAATGCAATTCCTATTTGCAGAAAATAAAGAACGATTTTTTGAAAACTGTTTCTAGAGAAGTACACAGCCTTTTTTGCTCAGGTACACGTATCTAATGACACTTTCTATTCTGATACGCTCACCAAAAAAAGTTGGTACACTAGAGCTGACTGACGAAATCCAGTTTTTTAAACAGCTCCACTCAAAGCTGGGCATCAAATCTTTTTCTTAAATAATTAGTACATCTTATTGTCCTACAATTTCTTTTGTTTTAGTTCCGAGTACCCTAGCGAAACTGCTTGCAAGATATGAAAGCAAGCCGGAAAGATTAACACGAGATTTCCAGCACGCTGCACCACCCAGCCTATTCACAGTTCACCAAGTAGGAAGCATTGCTTTTCCATTTTCTGCCTGTACCTAGAGGTCAAAGAAATCGCTTTACTTGGAAGCCTTCTAATGACAAGGTCGGGTTTCCCGGGAGCAGTCCCACACCCTCCGCCCAACCAGCCCCGTACCAGCAGCCACCAGCCCCTGGCCACAAAGCCCGGAGCCCCGTATGGCGGAGAGGGGGATGGGGCGCCCTGGGAATCCCATCCTGCCGTTTCCATGGCTACACCAGTTGAGCAGGGAGCCTTTCACAATGACCGGGCTGCGGATGCTCCATGGTCCCTCGCAGAAGGAAGTGCTGATGGAGCGGGGCAAGACCCCCAAACAGGGGTAAACGTGGAGGCGGTCATGCAAAGCCCCGCTTAAGCTGAAACAAAGTTGGAGCCTTGCAGTAATTTTTCCATCACATGAATACAAAAGAAAAATAAATGCGGCTTATCTCAATTAAGGTGAGCCACAGAGAGCGGCATGAATTGCAGGAAGTCAGGGGAATTTAAATATTAAGGGTAAGTGTCAAATATCAACTTTGCCTTGCCAGTAAGGCGTTCTCATTTGCTATGGCAGGAGTGGAAGAAAGAACCATTTTATACACATTCGTACTTTCCCAAAAACTGGTATTCACAGAAGTTACAGTGAAGTTTTAATAAAGAACACACGTACAGGCATACTGATCTCTAACTGCCTTGTACAAAGCACTCGCTGGCTCCAATCTGTGGTGTATAGTATTTGAATTACCCAGTCGCTCTCTGAAAAAGCTTCCAGTTATTTTATTTTC